GGAGGAAGGAAGGAAGGAAGGAAGGAAGGAAGGAAGGAAGGAAGGAAGGAAGAAAGGGAGGAAGGAAGGAAGGAAAAGAAAAGAAAGGGAATATTTGCTGGGCTCTCAGATCGGATGCACATAACCCAAACATTTTAGAGGTCTGGCATGCAGACTTAGAAAGCAAAACCTTCCAGAGTCACTCAGCTAGCAAGTGAGTCAGAAACAAGGTCTTGGGGAGCAGTACAGAGTGAGAGTTGAACCTGTGACTCTGAAGAGACCAACTTCCTATGAAGGCTGTTTGCCTGTAAGACCTCAATGACAGTGGGTAGGCTGGAACAAGGCCTGATGTCAACCGCCTGGGTTGCTCCTGTGGTCTTCCACTTCCGCACAAGCCATGTAACCTTGACAGATGGTTTTGCCTCTTTGAACCTCAGTTTCCCCAAATGTTGAACCAGGGGATATGATTCCCATGCCATGAAGCAGTGTGAGACTTCTCTCAGCTCCTGCGGGCAAAGCACTGTTGCCAACTCATGATTGACTTACTCATGATTGACAGGTGACCTCATTACCTGCATAGAGGCCAGGCGCTGTGTTAAGATCCATCAGTTCAGCAAAATAGCAAAAAGCAAAAGCCTATGCGTCAGACAGGAAAAACTCAGCTTCTCCAGGCTCTGTGCCTTTATCAAAGTTTCTCCACTTCTCGCCTATTCTGTTTTCTCATCTCTCTTTAGAAAAGGCCAATGTGTTTGTAACCAATATACCTGGTCCCTACATGTTTATAAATGGAGCATAACTGACGGAATGTCTAAAAAGATGTCAGCACAGATAGATGGCAAAAGATGAGTATTAGTCCCCTCCCTTTCCGACACTGTCATGATGCTTGGTCTCCAGGATGGTCTGTTCCTCCTCTTAGATTACCCTGGGGGTCCCCTAGGACACCCTTCCCTTTATTGGTACTCGCTCATCCAATCCCTTCTCTCTCTTATGAAGTGCTCTTGCCTCTTCTGCTCTGCCCACATCCCTCCAGAGATGGTGGCTGGGAAAGGAATTCTAACGTGGCTCAAGCCCACATATAGAAACTGGGATTAAACTGTCTTTCCACGTACTGGCTGACCACAGCCACAGGATGCGGCCTTTCTGAGCCTTACTTATCCAGGAGGCTAAAATTGTCTTTGCCTTTCCTGCTGGACTTTTATTAAAAAAAAAAAATCAAGAAAGTAAATGATATGAAATGGATACGAAAGTATTAAGCAAGTTATAGCACAGTGGTTTTCAAACTTTAGCGAACATCGACTCGCCTGGAGGGCTTATTACAACACAGGTGGCCGGTCCCATCCCCAGTTTCAGCAGGTCTGGGGTGGGGCCTAAGGATTCGCAATTCTAACAAGTTTGCAGGTGAGGGTGATGGAGCTGGTCCAGGGACCACACTTTCAGAATGCTTCCAAGATGGGCGCTCCTAATTTTTTCTGTGCACCCTGAGATTTAGGGCACGGGAGAAAATGCTCTGGAGTAAGTCTGTGTGCTGTGGGAGCAGCTAGAGTAGGAGGGGCGACACTGGAGAGTATAAAGTCAGAGGCAACCTTGGCTACGGCGCAGGCCCTCTGCAGGTAATGGGAGGTAATGGAGAAGCTGGCAGGCTGGGTGTCCCTGGTTCTCTGTATGCATGGACTGAAAGCAGGTGAGATGACAAGGAACGGGAGGAGGAGAAAACCCAGGGGAAGGGGGAATATAGGAGGCAGTGGCTTGGGGTGGGGCGGGCAGGAACTAGATTCTATCGGCTGTCCACAATATCACTGAAATACAGCATAATTGTTGGTGCAGAATATGAAGATCTGGAGAGTTCTGGGTTCAAATCCTCACTCTTCCTCTGGATGGTTGGGTGAGCCTGGGCAAGTAACTCTGCCTGTCTTTAAGCCTCAGCCTTCTCATCTGTAGAATGGCAATATTGTCTTTGAAAAAGAGGAAGCTTGGAAATCCTATCATCTGCGACAACAGGATGAGCCTAGGGGACATGATGCCCTGTGAAGTAAGCCAGGCACGAAGGACAAATGCTGCGTGATTCCACTTATAAGAAGTGTATAAAATAGTCCCACTCATAGAAACAGAGAATAGAATGGTTATTGCCAGGAGCAGGGGAGGTGGGGATACGGGGAGCTGCTGTTCAATGGGTATAAAGTTTCAGTCATGTAAGATTTGTAAGTTCTAGAAACCTGCTGTAGAGCATAGTGCCCTGTGCTTAACAATACTGTACTGTACACTTAAAAATTTATTAAAAGGGTAGATCTCATGTTAAGTGTCCTTACCACAATAAAAAAAGAAGAGAAAGTGAGCGCTTATTATGTATCGTTTTGGAAAGTCCTGCAGGATCTTTTGTTAAGGGAGCAAGGTTCAAAATAAATGGTAAGTAGGCTCGGCTATCCTCTGTGTGAAAAAGGAGCAAGATGTTGTTAATACATGTTCTCGCATATTTACAAACTATCCCTGTTGGTTTCACAAGAATTACATCAGTTATCTGTAGGGAGGGTGACAGGGTGGCTGGGGACAAGGAGGACTGGGAGGGCTTTTCTGATACCTCTTTTATAACTTGTTTGAAGTTTGAACTGTGTGAATTGCCTCCCCAGAAAATTAATCAATTCAACAGAGAGAAAGTGATCTTTATCTCTCGTAGTCATTGTAAGGATTAAAGGATTAAAGTAGAAAAGGTCAGTAAGTCCCCTGGCACTGTTGACGCCTGTAGCCCAAGGCCACCAGAAACAAGACGAAGTTAAACAAGTTGGATGTTTCACTCAAGATGACCACACACCTTGGGGAGCCAGAGGGCACCTTGGGGTTCTAAGCAAGAGGGTGTTAGAACCTATTCTAGGGCTTGAGCTCTGGTTGGGAGAGTTGGGGGGTTTAGGTTAAGGAAGCCAGGTTCTGCAACAGAGGTTGGTGTCAGAAAACGGGGCAATTCCATGCCTGGGCATCTCAATAAATCTCTACAGAGAAGGCAGACTAGAAGGAAGAGAAAGGCGCATTGAAGAAGCAGCTGTCACTCATTTCAGCCAAAAGGCAGAAGGTGTTTGGTAATTTGTGACATGGTGACCTCATTTTTTACTGTGTTCAGGCAAAATTCTGACGTGGACTTGGCTTATCTTATTTTCTCATGACCTCAGAGTAAGCCTCCAAGGTCGTGACTCTGTGCAGTTATGTCCAGCCAGAGAATGACACGCATGGGTCTGGTCGGCTTTGGGATATTGGGGGTGGCCTTTCGTCTTCTCTTTCTCTGAACGCATTGGGTACACTAAGTCTTCAGTTGATATTGGGGGTGGTGTTTCTTCATCATCATTTACTGGAGGAGGGGGAGGAGGCAAAATGCTGAAGTTTGGCCAGAGATGCATGTGATAACAATACAACATTCAAGAATAGAAGATCTGTGAGGATTTGGTCATGTTCGGCCATATTCATAGATGAAATGACAAAAGACCATTTCTGGGAGCACCAGGGTCTGACAGAAATAGCTTATTGCCTGGAACCAGACAGAGCTGGAGGTGAATCTGGGCTGCACCCATTTTTAATTGTGTGAACAATGTTTAAATGCAAGTATCTCTCTGCTCTTTCATCTGTAAAATGGCTGTGGGGATTAAAGAGAGTGGGGATGAAAGGTTTAAAAGATTAGCCACAGTGACTGAACCAAGTGACTCACCCAGCGACTGGCTAGCGTTTAAAACACAATGTAAGTACCCATGGTTTTATCCTAAAATGACTCCAGCCTGCATAGGGATGAGGTTCAGCTTTGCGGCAGCACCTCCTAAAAGAGTTTTGGGGCCAGACACAGTGCCCCCTTCAGACAGGGTCATTTTAGAGGCTCAGTTCTGGAGACAGAGGACCTGAATGGCTTCTTATTTCTGTGACTTTGAGCAAGTGATTTCCCCCTCTAAGCCTCCATTTCTGTGTCTACAAAATGGAGATCAGCACTAATAATGCATAACCTAAAAATATATATGAATGTATAATAATACCAATTTTATAGGGGTGTTGCAAGATTCAGTTTCCTTAAAGTAGTCTGCATAAGGTGCTAAGGAGAGAGGCAGGCACCTAGAAAATTACCCATCATAATAAATTATTTAACCTCAACTTTAAAAACATTGACATCTTGTTAGCTATTTTCTGAAGAACAGGGTCACCATCAGCTAATACAGATGCTGTTCTCACCACACGGTACCTCCTGAGTTAGAGTCTGATGCAAACCTACACATTGGCATTGTTATATCAAAGAAAAGGAAAGTGAGGCACATGCATTGAGTCACTTGCACAGGTAAGTGATGGTTCAGATCAGTCTCCAAAGTCTGACTTCCAGAGTATGAACCTAGTTCCCACCACTCAGTGGTCACATAACTTCTAGTATCTCTCTGTTGCCTGTGTCCTCTTGTAGGGAACCCTTTGGAGGATGGGGAGGAGAAGAGTTCTAAATAATAACTTCTCCTTCAAAGGGCTGTGGTGAAGATCCACCAAGGACAAAGACTGGAACATGGGATGGCCAATTAAAGATCAGCTGCTGTTACTGAATAACAGGTCTTCGTGGTTCCTTTCTAGTCTTTCATCGGGCCTAACAAGGTTTTAGAGTGGTGATGCTACCAAGACACACGTACTCTCTGAAACAGGCTCGGGGATGAAAGAAAAGCAAACATTTCTAGGAATCAAAACAAAACAGAATCACCAAAGCTTCTGGGACTATGCAGTGCTCTTGCACTGAACAGGTTGTTTTCCTGAAATGTTGACATGTGGGTAAGAGCTAGGATGGTCCCTCCAGCTTCCAGATTTGTGGAATGCCAACTAATGGAGTGACACTGAATTTACTCTAACTTACTCAAAGAAAGACCTTTGGAATACTCAGAGTTCATACATGAATTAATGGGCTGTGTCTTGGGTAAAGATGAGAGCCGCCCCCGCCCCCAACAACAACAGCTGGAAGTAATCATAAGTTACCCAAATGGTGAGAACAAAGGTTTTTCTGCTGCATGAACTTCAAGATACTTTTAACAGCCATTAGTCTAGGAATGGAGTATTTTATGAGGTGGTCTAAATTTTACCCATTTTTTTTCTCTTTCAGAATTTATTGTCCGTGCACACCCCCTGCTTCCAGGTGAGGAGACGTCTCTTTATTAGTTAATGTTAATATTAATCAGTCAAATGTTAGCCCACACCCATGAAACAATATTATATTCCTGAAAACTCCTTGCACTTTCCTGCCATTTTACCCTTTCCTTTGCTGTTCTTCTGGCACAAAATCCTATAGTCAGCCCTCCAAGATTTCCTTCAAGAAAGTTCCATGGAGATTCGCATTTAGAATGGACATTAGAGGAGGCTAAACAGGCAAAGCTGGGTCACATTCCTGCCAACCAGAGAAGATCACGCCTGTAAACCCCTGAGGCAAGAAAGATGGTGGCACGCTCGGGACACTTTACAAGGTGTGAGCAAAGAGAACACAAGGAAAGGTAGTCCAAGATCAGGCTGGAGGTGTTTTAGGGAACCAGATCAAGTAGGGCCATTTCAATGCTATTTCTTATCCTAACAGCAATGTGACATTAATGGGTTAGCATCAGGGTCAGGTTAGTATTTAAGAAAGAACATTCTCCCTGCAGCATGAAGAACAATGGGACAAACAGGTTGGCAGTATCCAGAAATAACTTATTGCAGTCGTCAAGGCAAAGCACAATGCTAGGTGGTGCAAAGGGTGTGCAGGGAAGTGGATAACCTTAAGAGATACTTACGAGCTACTTTTGGCGAGCTAAGAGATTTTTTTTTTTCTAGGAGAGAGGGAGAAAGACCAGAATTTCAGGTTAGGAGAGTGGGTGTACAGTCGCGAAAAGACTCGCATGGAAAGGAGCTACCCCAGTTAGCGTCCAGCTCAGGGTTGAAATAAGACTTCCTTTGATGTTAACTTGTGTTTGGTGCCACACACTAGGAAGGCAGTTCGCAAGACCAGCCACATGCGGGCTTGGGGGTGGTAGGTGAGCACGCATGGTGCAGATAATCGCAACGGAAGTTAGAAAGCCAATTCCCTTTGTAAGCTTGCCCGCCGTTCGGCATGTTTTCTCTTCTCCAGAATTTGTGAACAGTACCTGCGTCTTTCCATTTACATATGGTGACATGATCTACCACAACTGTATCTCTGTCCACAGCAGTTATGACTGGTGTTCTCTTGACAAAAATTTCCAAGGCAGGTGGCGATACTGCACTGGAAAGGGTGAGTGTCCTTCTGATGGGCCGACTCAGATGCACCGGATCTAAGGAGCAATTGACAGCAGCTAGCTACATGATTTTCGGTGTTGGATAAATCTGGGTCCAAATCCTGACTTTTCTACGTTTTCGTTAACACTTTGAAACCAGTTTGCAGTGGTAGAAAAAGCATGTGCTGCTAGTTTAGTAATGGTTAATCATCAGGCTTTTTATGTTCCTGTTTTCCTTCTGCTCCTCTCCTTCTCTGCAGATCCTCCCGTGTGTATCTTCCCTTTCGTCTTCAAGAAAAAATACTTTCACAGATGCACCAAGGAAAGCTATATCTTGAATCGGAGTTGGTGTTCACTGACAAAAAATTACAACGAAGACAGAAAATGGAAGCAATGCTCTCCTTACAAGTAAGGTGGTTGGGGAAGGAGGTAGTGGGAGGTCTTGTAGACCTTAAAGTGGGGAACCCTCTAGACTGATGGAAAAGGAAGCTGGGGTCTAGATCATCTGATGGTGGCTTAGATAAGGGGTCAGCAAACGTTTCCTATAAAGGGCCCAATAGTAAATATTTTAGGCTTCAAAATTCATGTCGTTTCTCACATACTCAGCTCTGCCTTGTAGCACAAAAGCAGCCACAGCGATAAAAAAAAACAAACAATAATAATAAATAAACAATGAACATAATGGTTTTACAATAAAACTATATTTATACACCTAGAAATTTGAATCTCATGTAATTTTCAGGTGTCACAAAATATTACTTGGCTTTTGATTTTTGTTTTTGTCAACCATTTAAAAAATGAGGAAACCATTAGTTCATGGGCCATAGAAAAAAAGATCACAGGTTGGATTTGGTGTCTGGGCTCCAGTTTGCTGGCCCCTGGCTGGAATGATCTGTCCTTGACCCCATGCAGATAAAGAAATGAGGTTAGTTTTCACTGAAAAGAAGGCATAGGAAGGAGAAAAGCATGGTCAAGAGACATTGGAGAATTCACCCTACTCTATGCTTGAATTATTATAGTGAGGGTTTTATTGAGCGCAATCGTGTCTCATTTAACCTTCACAATGACCCCAGGAAGTGATTATAGGTGTCATTACACCCATAGAGAAGTGAGGGGATTAAAGCTTAAGAGGCTAGGTTATAACCCAACCCAGTGTCAGATTCTACAATATCATCATAAAGAAGCTTTGCACAGAGACCACTTACTAACCGGTTCCGTTCAATGAGCCCCTACGATGCTCTATTATGAGCTTTCCATTTGTTATCTCTCTCCCCATTAAGATGGCCGTTTTATGGATGTGGAAACAGACATTGAGAGCCTGGGCATCTTAGCCAATCAGCTAGTAAGAGACGAAGCTCCAAGCCTCACCTGGATTCAGTGGTGACTAAAGTCAGTCTTCATTTCTACCCCACGGCTCTACACATTTGTCAAAACTCACACCACTATTAACCTGAAAATGCCTTTGGGGTCGTTGTCTACATCAGTGACACACAGATAGAGACCCATGTGGGGCATTTCATTATAATCTGGGCTGAGTGACTGCTTTTTCCCTATCCACATAGTTACTTTAGTCAGTGATTGAGTTGACCTTTCGTTTGGGCTTCCAGAAAAGTCAAAGCCCTATTTGGGACCCAAACACAGCAACCATGTTTTTTCATACAGGCAAGGGGTCCCATGTTTTCCCCCAACTGCCTTTGTTGGTCCTTGAACCTTCTCTGGAGCTCTGCCAATAGTTAAGTCCTGCAGGTTCTGGCCTGCAGGTTTGCTCCTTGGTAAAATGGCAGGAAGGCTTGATGGTTTCCATACTTGGTATTCAAAGGCCTTTCACTCACCTGCAGCTTTTTATTACCTTATGATAGGGTATCAGTGGTGCTCAGCTGTAGCCATTCAATCCCATTGTTTGTATAGTTACCGTTTCCTAGGATTTCTCAAACTTCTGAAGCATGTTGCCAGCTAGCATATGCCCCTCCACTGGGATGCCATCCCAGCTCAACTCCAGGGGGAGTTTTAACAGTTGGACCACCCCTTGCGCCAGGGGCTGTGTGCTCTTCATCTACCACCAGTGATGGGGTCTCCATGCCATCAGAGGTTGGGGGTGATCCCACTCCAAATCCCCATGATATGCCTGCTGTCCTAGACCACTCTCAGAGCTGTCACACATCAGCTTCTTGGAAGTAGATGTTTCATTTCTCTCTCCCTTCTTTCCTCCCTCTTTCCTTTCTTCATTAGTGCCTTGATCTAGAAAGTTTAAGACAGCTCATGAAAATAACTAGCTCTTGCAATAATAAAACTAGTAGATTAAAAATCAAGGACAATTCAGAGCCATAATGGCAAGAGGTAAAGTTAGCACTATATAGGCTGTATGGTGAGACTATACAATTGGAGCTGAGCTTCCTAGCTGCCAAGTAAATAGAAATACAGGTTTAGTTCCATTAATTACGTTGTCTGTAATGTTGAAATCCTACTCTCTGGAGAAGACTTGCAGGAGGTTTATCACTCTCCACAAGAGATATTCAGTTGTATGCATGAAATTACTTTCCTCCACCCATCTTCTTGCACCCTTGCTGCCTTTCTGCTTTGAGAGGCCATACTGGGCAGTGACAAAAAAATATAACCTCTCTGAGTCTGCTTTCTTATGTATAAATTGAGCATCTTATAGATAACCATTCATAACCATTTATGCTGGTTATGAAGATAGATGTATTAACTGGACTTACCTCATAGGGCATCAAATCAAACAGATTGTATCAAGCACTCAGAAGACGGCCTAATACAGAGTACGTGTAATAATGTGTTTGCGTTTCTCTCTCACCCTTGCATTTTCCCTTTCCTCTCCCTCTTTCTTTGTCCCCTCCTCCCTTACTTTCCCAATTCTTTTGATAAAAAGAGATTTAAGATGGAGTGCATAGCCATATAAAATTCAACATACTATTATTTAGAAGTAGATGACAAATATGAAAGGATGAATGGGATGTAAAATGGAGCCTTCCCTGAGACTAACAGATTAAAGCAGAACACAGAGCCTTTCTACCTGCTGCAGGTGAGCCAGAGTTTGGCTCACCTATGACTCTCCTCATCCATAAATAGCCATGCCCTCTGACCCAACAATTTCCATTTTATGGATATATCCTAAAGAAAACACTGGACAGCTCTACAAATATGTATATAAGGTGATGGTCATCACAGTGACTCCAAACAGTTACTATATCCATCTGTTATCATTGAACAAGAATTTCCACAGTAATATAGAGTACTATATGTTATATATATATATATATATATATATATATATATATATATATGTTATATATATGTTAAGAGTGTGTATGTATGTGTTAAATTTTAAGATATTCCAAATTATCTTCAATCAACATTTGAGACTGCCCACTTTCAACAACTTCTTAACACTGAAAATTATCAATTTACTAAATGTATTTCAATAGTACTACATAACTTATGTTCAAATAATCAAGTCATAAAATATTTAATAATGCATATTGTGTTTGAGAATGAGAGAGAAATATTTACATGCACCTTAGGCCACTGATCTCTAATGTTTCTCTATCTCTCTTCCATTCCACATACTTATGTTGTTTAGTTCTTGGGGGTAGACCAGATCTCCCATTAGGAAGGAGGAAAAATGATCCTGGAGGGTGACAAACTGTGATACTGATCCTCACCTCGGTTTCTCTTCCACAGTTTTTAAATAAGTCTTGGTGTTCTTAAAGGGACAGACGTTATAGGATTCATCAGCTGCCTTTCAAAATATATCCTTTCTCGAATCATTCTGACCAATAAAGATTTGATCTCCCTTCCACGTGGATGACTCGTTTTCTTAAAACAAGGTAGGGAATGAGTAGGGCATTTGTGGGGAAGACTTTTCATTCAAATCCAGATCCTGAAGACATGTTAACAGCAATCTTTGGGAAGCTTACTAAATGCTCAGAGAAACTCAAGCTTGCCCTAATACAATTTTTAAATTCTGAAGTGTAGCGTATACTTTTTACTTTCTGAGATAAAATTCACGACATACAATTAACCACTTTAAAGATAACAATTTAGTGGCATTTAGTACAGTCACAATGTTGTACAAACATCACCTCTATCTAATTCCAAAACATTTTTATCACCCCAAAAGGAAACCCTGTACCCACTATGCAGTCATTCCCCAATCTTTTATCCTCCCAGCTCCTGGCAACCAGTAATCTTTCTGTCTCTATGGACTGACCTATTCTGACATTTCATATAAATGGGATTCTATGATATGTGATCTTTCATATTTAGCTTCTTTCACTCAGCATGTTTTTGATATGTGTCAGTGTTTCATTGTTTTTTTATGACTGAGTAATATCCTGTTGTATGGAGGTATATATATATATATATATATATATATATTTATATTTATTTATATATTTATAATTTCTCATGAGTGTAGCGCTACGTGAGTTTTCACAAACTAAACACTCCATGTAAGTGACAACCATATTAAGAAAGATCATTTTCAACCCTGTTTCAAGCCTCCTCCCAGGTACTACTCACCAAGGGTAACCACGAGCCTGATTTCTGACAGCATAGATTAGTTTTATCTTTTTTTGTATTTCCTATAAATTGGATCATACCTTTGTGTCTGGCTTCTTTCATTCACCATGATGTGTGTGAGATTCAGCCATCTTGTTGTGTGTAGGTGCAGACCTTTCATTTTCATTGACGTATAATTTTCCACTGTGTGAATGCACCACAATTCATTCATCCATGTTCCTCCTGATAATCATTAGGGTGGTTTTCATAAGGGAACATTATGGGCAGCACTGCTACGAACGTTCCGTTACATGTCTCTGGTGAATGTATATACTAAGATGAGAATTGCTGAGTCAGAAGGCATAAGGATGTTCGATGTTAGTCGTGACTGCCAAGCCCTCAGACCATGGAACCCGGAAGATGGCTCAGGATTTAGCATACTGATTGAGTCCCCCTGGGCAGGGACTCATGACCCAATCAGAGTCATGATTCTTCCAACTAGTGGCAGAGGTGTGGGAAGACTTTTCTGTGTTAGCAAACCTGTTGGGAGGTCAAACGGAGATGCTTAAGGCTTGTTCCCTGCCACAAAGCAAAGCTTGCCTGCACTAGGAGAGAATTAAGCGGGTAGTTCTTCCCCCAGTTATCTGCAATTGTACTTTCTCCTTTTCCTTGGTTTGGTTACTGGAGTCAATAAAGTCTCCCTTTTTGTTGAAGTTCATTCTATAAGTTACATCCAAGAAGTCCCACCCCCAGCCCTCTCAGTCCAAGGATGAGGAGAGCCATTTTGAGAAGATGGGCTCACACCCATGTGGCTGACTCACCCACTATGGTATCATCTAAAGACTGGGACCCCTGAATACTTGGCTGCAGCCCCATTTGACTGTGGTTCTGTGGTCACAAGCAGCACACACTAAGAGACCCAGAAGGAGTCTCACCCACCCATTTGTCCAGTAACAGGCATATAGACCTGGGTCCTGGCTGCAGGCTTTTTGGGGGTCAGTTCAGGGATCCCTGGAGAGCACTGAATTAGACAGTCACCTTCCCAGTCACCACCCCAGACAAGCGATCCTTTGTGGGAATGCAGGGGCCCAGCAGAAAAGTTCCAGCACACCACTAGAGCAAGAAAAATATAAGTTTGGATGCATAGAAAAGGTAAAACGACCAGTGTGACTATCCTCGCCATCCCTGCCCCAAGGCGGCACAGCTGAGTGCCAAGAGAGGCCTTTTCAGGCCAGTGATTTCTCCCCATAGGGAAAGTGAGAGCATGTGAGTGAACGCCCAGCTTCCTCAGCTGTGTGGGACACTGCCAAAGAGGCCCATCCTGTCTCACCCCGTCCAGAGCACTGAATCCTGACCTACAAGACTGAGGGTGGTGAGCAGCTGGGAGAACAGCAGCCAGGGTGCCGACCAGAACGTACCAAGGGGACACTGATCCCACTAACTGCATCAGGGACTCTCATCAGAGGGCAAGCTGAGAATTTGCAGGATGGGAAGAGGGCACAGGATAAGGCTGTCGCAGGCAGCAGAGGATTGTGGGAAAATCCTTGTGAGAAAGCAGGGGTCCGTGATTCCTGCAAGATTCACACAGCTGCTACTCAGTGCTGCAGATGGGATCTCTGTAAAGTTGCTAAAATAATAACGAAATATACTTTTGAGTCTCAAAAATCTATAGTACTCTGTGTATTAACGAGAGCTGTTATGAATGCCGTTAAGATTAATGAGGTGGGGTTTGATGCTTTGTTTTCTCTCATGCCTGAACATTCTGTTCAAGGTAGAGATGAGACTGCAAGTACCATTCAATGGCCCATCACTGATGCCCTGGGGGCAAAGGACAGCCTCAGGCCTTCTGTCTGTTCCACCCACTCCCTGATTAAAGGTTACTCCTCTGCTTCTCCAGTAGGAATATCTGTATATTCTGTTGAATGGGGGATGAAGCTGTTGGCATGAAAAACTATACAAAAATATCCGGATTTCTTTCAGATGCAACAGTTTGGTGTTGTAAAAAAATATATATATAAACAGAGCCACTTTAAAATGGAGCCAGAACTGCCATCCAGAGGAACTGCTTTGCAAGTCTTATGCCTCAAACCTTTGGAATGTTAACACAGGGCAAGGTAACCTTGGGTGGGAACTAAAGCAACATTGTGTACCAAAGAACTGTTTAGGAAGATAACTATGACTACGGGACTAATGACTGACTACCAGGCTGAAAATTGAAAACATTGTTTAGAATTAGCATGCTATGTTAGCTTATCTGCACCCACAGAAATGCCTTCCATTGATGTAATTATTCCCTTTCCCTTTCTCATAAACACCCCTTTTGCCTTTTGTCTCTTCTTTCTAATTTTTTGTGGGCTTCTTCCTGAATCAATGCTTCCCGAATAGCTCTCTCTCTCTCTCTCTTTTTCTTTTTCTTTTTTTTTTTTTTTTTGAGCTCAAATAAATGCTGTTGCCTCTTAACTTTGAAAGCCCTTTTAGTTTTAGGTCAACAGTGTGTTAGTTTTTGTATATGTGGTTAGAGGATCATACAGAATAGGAGAGAAGTTCTCAATTCTGTGTTAAGAACTTACTGTTTCTGGAGGCTGTCGTTCCTTCTGGGCACCTTAGATAGCCTAGAATCCTAGACCTCCACCTGAGACGTGTGAGCTTCTGATTGGAGTTAGACAGCTGCCGCTTTGCACAATGGGACTTTTGGGTACAGACTGACAGGGAGCCCTGGAAAGGAGCACGTAGCATGAGATCAAAGAGCACTGTGCTGGTTTTCAAGACTGCCATAGTAAATGACCACAAACTTGGTGGCTTAAATAACAGAGATTTATTCTCTTACAGTTCTGAAGGCCAGAAGTCTGAAATCAAGGTGTCGGCAGGCACATGCTCCCTCTGGAGGTTATAGGAAAGGATCCTTCCTCACCTTTTTCAGCTTCTGGTGGCCACAGGCCTTTATTGGCTTGTGGCTGCATCATTCCAATCCCTGCCTCCGTCTTCACATCACCATCGCCTCTGCGTGTGTGTGTCTTCTCCTCTTCTGTCTTTTATGAAGATACCTGTTCTTGGATTCAGGGCCCACCTGAGGGAATTCAGGATAATCCCATCTCAAGACCTTTAACTCAAAAATAAATGTGGGCGCTGGCCAAATTCTTTGAATCCCGTGAACTGATAATAGAAATCTGAATACTCTTTACAAATGTACTGAAGTTATAATACCCTGCCTAGAGAAGCCACTCAGGGAATGACCAGACGATGATATGTTTGATTCTTTAATTGAAATCTCAGCCTTCCCATAGCCTATTTTCCTGTCACCTTTGTACTAGAGTTACGTAAGTAACACACCACCATAGTACAGTATTAGAGTATTCTGAATCTGACTATATACTTACCTTTCCCAGTGGGTTGTATATTTTCTCATGTTTTCATGTTACTAATTGGCATCCTTTTGTTTCAGCTTGAAGAACTCCTTTTGGTATCTCTTTTAAGAGATACCAAAACCTACCCGTAAGGCAGGTTTAATGGTGGTAAACTCTCTCAACTTTTGTTTCCCTGGGAAAGTCTAACCCTCCTTTGCTTCTGAAGGATAACTTTGCCAGAAAGAGTATTTAGTTGGCAGTTTTCTTCTTTCAGCACTTTGAATATATTATCCCACTCTTGGCCTATAAGGTTTCTACTAAGAAATCCACTGATAGATAGCAATTTGGGGTTTCCCTTATAAGTTACAAGTTTTGTTTCTCTTGATGCATTTTTGTTTAATTTTTTTTATTATGAAATACACATTTTTTAGAATTAGTTTCAGCTGTACAACACAGTGCAATCTCTTGATGCTTTTAAGATTCTTCTTTGATTTTTTTTTTTAAGATTTTTTTATTGGGGGGTTGGGGGAGAGGATTAGCCAAGTTGTTGTTCTTCAGTTTTAGTTGTGGAGGGCGCAGCAAGCTCAGCTCCAAGTCCAGTCGCGCAGCTCAGCTCCAGGTGCTGTGTTCAATTAGTTGCAGGTGGGTGCAGCCACCATCCCATGTGGGAGTCAAACCAGCAGCCTTGTTGTTAAGAGCACATGCTCTATCCACTGAGCCATCCAGGCAGCAGCTTAGATCAAGGTGCCGAGTTCATTCTTTAGTTGTGGGTGGGCATAGCCCACCATTCAAACAGGTAGCTTTGTTGTTAGGAGCACACGCTCTCACCAGCTGAGCCATCCTGCCGCCTGTTGGCAGCTCAGCGGCAGCTCAACTCAGGGCTCAGCGTCACTGGCCCATGTGGGAATTGAACCGGAGAATCTGTTTCTCTGAGCTCTCACTCTTGGGCAAACTCTTAACCATCTGAGCCACTCAGCCAGCCCTGTCTTTGATTTTTGATAGTTTTAGTATAATGCATCTTGAAGAGAATCTCTTTAAGTTGATTTGGGGAGAGGATTCTATAAGCTTTGGGAACTTGGATATTCCAATCTCTCCCCAGATTTGGGAAATTCTCAGCCATTATTTCTTTAAATAAGCTTTCTGCCCCCTTCTCTCTCTCTCCTCCTTCTGTGACTCCAATAATTTGAAGGTTGTTTCTTTTTATGGTGACCCATAGGTCATGCAGGCTTTCTTTTATTTTTCCTTCATTTTACCTTTTTCTCCTCTGACTGGTTAATTTCAAATTTCCTGTCATATACATATATATACATATATATATATATATATATATATATATACATATATATATCACACACACACATATATAAATATGTGTGTGTGTGTATGTGTGTGTGTAATTTCATTTTATTCACTGTATTCTTCAGCTACAGGCTTTCTGTTTGATTCTTTATTATGGTTTAA